GTCACGTCCTGGAGTCCTATAGTGACATTTTCAACTTCGCCAGCACGAGTTTAAGCCGAACGAGTGTTGTTACTCATCGCATCAATACTGGTGACGCGAGTCTCATTCACCGATGTCCATACCGTGTTTCCGCGTCCGAGCGCACAGTCACACAACAGGAAGTCGAAAAGATGCTTGCAAAAGACATAATCGAGCCCTCTTGTAGCCGCTGAGCTTCTCCTGTCGTCCTGATCAGAAAGAAGGATGGAACATAGTGCTTTTGTGTAGATTATAGGCATCTCAACAAAATTACAAAGAAAGATGCTTACCCGTTGCCTAGAATCGACGATGCCTTAGACTTCCTTTACGGTGCTACGTATTTTTCCACTATCGACCTTCGATCTGGCTATTGGCAGATCGCTGTGGACGAGATGGACTGTGAGAAGACCGCATTTGTCACTCCTGACGGGCTTTATCACTTCAAAGTTATGCCCTTTGATCTCTGTAATGCGCCGGCCACATTCCAAAGAATGATGGACTCATTGCTCCAAGGGTTTATATGGTCAACCTGCTTATGTTATTTAGACGACGTTATCGTTTTTTTGCCCACATTCGACTCCCATCTCAAGCGTTTATCGTCGATTTTTGAAGTTTTTAGTCGAGCTGGACTTCAACTGAACTCGTCGAAATGCCACTTTGCTCGTCGTCAAATAACCGTACTTGGCCACACCGTCGATGCCGCAGGATTCCGCCTGGATCCCGAGAAAATTCGCGCCGTCACGGACTTTCCTGTTGCAAAGTCAACAAAGGACGTTCGCAGTTTTGTGGGCTTGTGCTCCTACTATCGACGGTTTGTTAAGGACTTCGCCATCATTGCACGTCCACTCACAAACCTCCTGAAGAAGGACGCCCCGTTTTTCTGGGGCGCTGATCAAGCCTCATCTTTTTCCCAGCTCACGACGCTCCTTACAACACCGCCAATTTTAGCTCATTTCGATCCATCAGCTCCAACCGAGGTTCGAACTGATGCTAGCAGGCATGGCATCGGGGCAATGCTATTGCAACACCAACGCGGACATGACCGTGTTATAGCATATGCAAGCCGACTGCTATCTACAGCCGAGCGCAACTATTCAATCACGAAGTGTGAGTGTCTCGCTCTTGTGTGGGCAGTCGCCAAGTTTCGCCCATACTTATACGGGCGTCCATTCCGGGTAGTCACCGACCATCACGCGCTCTGCTGGCTGGCCTCGCTCAAGGACGCCTCGCTCGTTGGTCCCTATAATTACAAGAATACACGTTCACCGTAACGTACAAAACAGGGCGGTCACATCAAGATGCTGATTGTTTATCACGCTACCCTGTGGAAGAGGCTGCCCATACTGACACCTTTCCCGACCTTCTGTCTCTGACGCAGCTACTCAACCTTGGCCACGAACAGTGCCGGGATGTTTCCCTGCGAACCATCATTGACAAGCTTGAGTCAATGCCTCGCGACACATCTCTACAAATGTTCCTGGTAAAAGACGGCATCCTGTATCACCGTAACCTCGATCCATATGGCCATGACTTCCTCCCCGCCATACCAGCACATCTTTGTGCCACTGTTCTCAACCAGCTTCATGACGCTCCTTTGGCGGGCCACTTGGGCGTCTCTCGCACATACGACCGTGTACAATGTCGTTTCTTTTGGCCTGGTCTTGCCCGCTCTGTTCGACGCTACGTCGCCGCTTGTGAGCCCTGCCAGCGCCGCAAAAAGCCATCTTCTCTACCAGCTGGATTCCTTCAGTTGATCGACATTCCCATTGAACCTTTTTTTCGCGTTGGCCTCGGCCTGCTTGGCCCATTCCTGACCTCCAGCTCAGGCAACAAATAAATCGCTGTCGCCACTGACTATGAGACACGGTACGCTATCACATGAGCATTTCCGACGAGTTGCGCAACCGATGTAGCGGACTTTCTGGTATATGATATTATTTTAGTACACGGAGCTCCACGCCAACTTCTCACTGACCGGGGCCGGACCTTCCTATCAGCTGTCGTTGATGAAATCCTGCGCTCTTGCTCTGCCAAGCACAAGTTTGCCACTTCGTACCATCCGCAAACGAACGGTCTTACGGAGCGCCTCAACCGCACCATAACCGACATGCTTTCTAAATATGCAGTGCCCGACCACCAGGACTGGGACGTTCATTTGCCATTTGTGACGTTCGTATATAATTCGTCACGTCACGACACTGCCGGCTATTCACCATTCTATCCTCTATACGGCCAAGAACCCGCCCTACCATTTGACACCTTGCTGCCCTCGGTCACTGAGTATGCCAGCGAAGCCATCGCGCGAGCCGACCACGCACGCCAACTCTCCCGCAGCCGCCTGCAGGCCTCACAGGAGCACCAAAGACAGCTCTACGATTCCCATCATCGAAACGTGCACTTTTCACCGGGTTCCCTTGTCCTCCTCTGGTCCCCCACTCGGCGTGTAGGGCTTTCTGAAAAACTGCTGTCACGCTACACTGGACCATACCGCGTCGTTCGCCAGATGACTGACATTACATACGAGATCGTTCCAGCCGATTTAACGTCATCATCGTCACCTTCGAGTGACAGCGTGCACATAGTTCGACTCAAGCCTTATCACCCTCCTTCTACCGCATACGAGTTGCTCAAGCACCGAGACGGTGCTTCTACCGCCGGGGGGTTATGATACACAACAGCCGGCACAGCCTGGCTGCAAGAAAGAGAAAGTCGACGTTGGTGGCTGGTTGTTGATGAACTGTCGCCATCTTGTTCGCTGAACATGGTGCATCGTATTTAATTTATTAAATAAGTTACCGGTAACACTATGATATGATTGTGACAGGTGCCGTACTGGAGGGCTTCGAAAATTTGGCTATATGGTGCTCTTTAACATGCACCTAAATCTAAACACACTGGCCTCTAGAATTTAGGTCCCATTAGAATGCGGCCAGCAAGGATTCTACTTTGCGACCATCGGGTCTGTGGTCAAGAACCATAACTGCTACACTACTGCAGCAAGTAGATCAATATTGAGAGTTGCAAACTTAGTGATGGTTTGGGCCTAAATTTTCAGTAAGACTTGAGCTTCAAAAAATGAGTGGCACGAATGTCCCAGTTGCTGAGTCGGTGTATAGAGAAAAGTTATCGCTGTGTTCGACTACACTCCTTGCTCCAGCAGTTCGCGCCTTAAGATATATTCAACTAAAATAAGTCCGGGTTGTTTTATAAGTTGATATCCCCCCCCCCGCCCCCCCCGCCCCCCAAATATTTTGCTTTTGCTGAGGATTTTTGCCACGGTGGCAAGCGCAGCAAGGAATGGCTTACATGTCAAAAGCAACATGCTGGGTGAAAAGATTTGGGTGCTGGATATCCCAAAATCAAAGAATCTGAGTATTGCTATTTTGCCAGTGTCAGTTGTTTGCCAGTGTCACACCGTGCTGCTCTGTGGTTCTCACTATTTTGTGAGCACCACTACTGCCAGAACAACAGTTTACCGCGATTTGCCGCTCTATCAAAGGCATCATACGCGGCATTTATGCTCAGGTGACGTGATATGAAAGACGCTTGGACTAGTTGGTGATTGGGAATCAAAATGTTTGCACAGCGCAAGACTATGAGTAGTTACGCTGTAATTACTCGTAGTCTTGCGCTGTGCAATTATGTCGACTGGTGACGTGACTATCCCACATGCGACTGGCCCTGGATGTTCCGTTAACATACTTTTTAGAGTATGGGAACATGGCCATCTTCACCCCTTCCTCCAGATAAAATGAAAAATTTATGCCTCTCTGGGCAGACATTTGCTATCTCTTTTAAAATGGAGCACTTTCTGGCTATTAAAAAAAAAGTTTTGCTCTGCATAGTAATGCAGAGCAAAACTTGACATGTCACTTGGATATGTTCAGCTTTCGTAGTTCGGTGAGATTGTGTGTGAATAACAGATGTGGTTGGTGCAGCCAGAAATTTTTTCGCTAATCACACAGCGCTAATCACAACAAAGATAGAGATTTAGAAGTAGCTTATCTTTATTAACCAATCGCAGGATGCTTACTAATAGCAGATTTGGAAGAGGAACAGACTCCAATAGTTCTGCATATGGTAACTCCAGATCAAAGCCACATTTTTTTTTTTGCTAGAGAGTAAAAAAAGAGGAACCAAACTGTCATTGTGAATTTTGATTAGCTAAGAATAATGAAACAAAAAAGCTTTAGCTCCAAAAATCTGATTCCCCATATTCAGCTGACACTGCAATGTTGCTTCCACTAAAATAGGTGTCACTTAACATAAGCCAAGAAAACATTTACAAGGTATAATAGTATAATAGTGTATGCAGTGAGGAGAGAAGAGAAGCACTTACTTTCCCACTGTGCTATTAGTTACTATGTCTGAGGTATATGCAAGATTCAGCCAAATAAGCCTCTAATGACTGCTAGTACAATAGTCCGTCACTGCACTTGTCATGATAAATGCTCTATCCAACACATTATGCTAATATGGGGCTATGAAAATTTGTCATAGTTATAGGCGAATACAGCTTTTGAAGTCCAGAGCACCTCCTGCTCAAAACCAGATGCACACAAGCCTGCATCAATGGGAGCACACTCCACACAGATGTCATGAAGTGGATGGCCAGTGAACTCGCATTCGGGGAACATAGAAAAGTGCATGAGCCTTACTACTGCTTTGGTTGTAGAGGCGATCGGCTGCTAAGCATTTAAGTCTTCTCGGCAAGGCCTCTCCAGACTTCTTAAGTTCTGTTTGACATTGGTATTTTTTTTTTTCCTTTTTTCACTTACAAGACTTGTGTTATAGAATAAAAAAAAGCAAAAAAGACAAGTCTCTGTTCATAAACTTATCCAGGCATGTTATATAACAATAGGTAATTTGAAGGCTAAAAAACAATGTAGCAAATATGACTACTAAATAAACTAATACAACTACAGAAAAGTGGTTGGTTTTAAACCATAAATATACATTAAGAAAAGCAGACATAACACAACCTTTGCGCTGGTGGTCCATCCATGATGATGTTTATCCAAAGAATTTGCATCGCATTCAGAGGGTTGGGAATCTTCATTAATGTGGACAACGCAATTAGAGAAAGAGCAGCAATGCTCCTGGTGGAAGAAAAAAAGAGAGAGAGGACATTTTAGGGGCAGACAAAAATTACAAATGTACAGTACTTCACAGCAGAAATAATAAACAATAGTGAAAAAAAAATGAAACCAAGTGAGTTTAGACATACGTGCTCAACTGGAATGTCACAAAATTCCTGATGTTGTAAAATATTCCTTTTCCTTCTTCAATTGCCGCCCTGAAGAAAAAATAAGAAGGTAACAGATTTGTATATAATGCCTGCCACAAGTAAGTCTCTCTTGAAGAGTACGAAGACTGTATTGTCTTTAGGTGACACTGAAGGCAAATATTAAGTGAATGTTTATTGCTGAAATAGCGGTCCAGAAACCTTGTAGTGCTGCTTTTGGGCCAAGAAAATGCTTACTTTGAAATAAAATCATGTTTTAGTGGTCTGCATTGTGTGAGTGCACTTCGAATTCCCTGCCTGACAATTGTATGTCTCACGTCACTGTTGCCGTGCACAACATTGCCCGGCTTTACTGCATGGCCGCTGACACTAGTAGCAGCAGAGCGAAAGTAGGGGGAGCCACAGCAGCAATAACAGCCATTGAACAATATCCTACCATGGCGTCTGAGATCGCTTGGTTCAACTGGGTTCTCCTAGAAGGCACGACCTATCCCGTTCAACCAGACAAAAATTTAACTTTTGAACCACTCGCGCCATTCCCCATAGTAAAGTCTGATGGTTCTTTTTTTTTTTTTTATAAAACAAACAGAAACAAACAAGAAGCATTTTATTACATCTCTTGATGCACTGAAGGTTCTTTTTTTTTATTGCAGCTAGTTTGACTAATAGTGATTAATTGTAAGCGGTAAACTCTGACGTCATCGGGATCATTTTGCAAATGTCGTCCTCGTGGTGCATGTGTTCGTTCTCGTGCATTTTAGCTTAATTTCTCGGTAAATAGGGCACTGCTGTTGATAATATTGTCATTTTAAACATTGTGCATTGGGCTTTCACTCTGACATAAATTGTTATTTGCTTTTAGTGTCCCTTTAAGCGTAAGTTCATTCGTGTTAAGATGAGGTAATAATGATAAAAAATTGAAAAATAGAATACACAAGGTTAAAGTGTAAAATAATTAGTCAAATAAAAAGTTGAAATTTGAGTTATGTACACGAGCTGAGAGAGGTACAAAAAAAAAAAGCTATTCAGTAAGTTTTAAAACTTTATGCCAAGAAAATAAGAGCCACTGCAACATCTGTGGTTGTAATATAGCAGAAAATGTGCAAATATTCACACATGGCAATGGGCTGATATGTTAGGTGCACTAATAAAAACTACTGCTGCTGGCTGTCAGCTAGAGAAGCCTTTCAGAATAAACTAAGAAGTTTCACAGATGAAAATTGTGGTTTAAGCTAATTGGTGATATTTTAAGTTTCAGAAATAAAAATGGTGGTCCAAGTGAATTGGTGATATTTATTTTATTTATTTATTTTGTAGTGAGGAGGAATGTCCACTACTGCAGCGACATCAACACGTTGGCGCGACACGCGAGCTAAGGCTGCCTGGTTGCTGCTGCGACCCTATACTCGGCCTGCTCATGCTGTTCTGTACCAACGCTGCTACCACTTTTGACCTAGCATTTACATTATATTTTGGTGGAGAGTGCTGCGGTCTTCCCCAGTCCTGGAACTGCGTAGCCGAAAGCTGCCGTCCGTCATGCCTGATGACGCTGTCTTCACACCCCCACCGGCTTCGCCACGCAGGGGCTGTCCCGGTGCCCAGCTTTTGCGAGAACCCGACATCTTCAGCGGCACCGACGAGAAAGACGTTGAAGATTGGCTGAAATTTTATGAACGAGCCAGTGCTACTAACAAATGGGACGATCCTGTGAAGCTTGGTACCATGATGTTTTATTTAACGGATGTTTCCAAGCTATGGTACAGAAACCATGAGGCGGATATCCCCACTTGGGCGACCTTCAAAGCCAGCATCACAAATGTTTTTGGACGCCCTGGTGTGCGCAAACTTCGCGCAGAACGTCTATAAAGCTGGTCCCAACAAAATGGTGAGACATTCACTAGCTACATCGAGGACATCCTAGACTTCTGCCGGCTTGTCGACCTGTCGATGGCGGAAACTGACAAGGTGCGATATATCATGAAAGGCATTTCCACCATGCCTTTCAAATGCTGCTCTCGAAAAACTCTGTCACTGTCTCTGAGCTCATCGAGTTGTGTCAGAGTTTTGACGAGCTCCGACGACAGCGTCTTCTCACGCGACACCCTACCATCCCGGATGACACACTTTCAAGCCTAACCACCACCTCTGACCTTGAGTTCCTGCTATCGCAGATCAAGGAGTTTGTTCGTGCTTAGGTCGCTCGTCAGCTATCGCTGCTATCAACAGCCGGCCAATGGCCGTCACCTCTGCCAGCGAACATTCACCAGGCCATCCAGGAGCAAGTTTGCACGGCTCTTCCCTCTGGCCGTGGCACTTCACCGCTGCTGACCCCTGTTGCCTGTGCCCAGATAAATGCACCTCTAAGCTATGCTGAAGTGGCCCCTCGACCACCTCTTCAGACATTTACGTCAATACCAACAGCCATGCCACCGCGACCCACTCCTCGGTTCGCTCAGCCTAGGTCCGTCCAGAGTAGTGGACAATGGCGTACACTCGACAATCGGCCAATATGCTTTACTTGTGGCCTACCTGGCCATATAGCGCGATACTGCCGTCGACGCGTCTCTGTCTACCACCAGAGCTACCACCAGAGCTTCGAAACTGCCCCATATGTGCCACCGCGCCCTTCGTTCACAAGCTCTCAGCCCCCTGACCAGATGTCATCGTACGCCAACCACCGCCCTCCTGTTAACTGCCGCTCGCCATCGCCTCGACGTCGCTCGCAATCGCCGATGCGTCGTCGTCCTTCATCGCCAGAGTAGAAAAACTGATTGCCGCAGTTACAGAGGCAGGAACTGCGTCGCCCGCGAAAAGACCAAGGCCTCCCTCTTCCCTAACGAATGTTCTCGACGTATATGTGGATGGCGTCGCTGCACTCGCTCTAGTCGACACTAGTGCCGCAGTTTCCGTGATCAGTGCCAGACTCTGCCGCTTGCTCAAAAAAGTTATGACGCCAATAGCAAGTATATCACTTCGTACAGCCAGCGCAGAGCACGTCACGCCGGCCGCTGCCTGAACTGCTCGCATCGCAATTGATGGCCTCATCTATGTCGTCGAGTTACAAGTGTTGGATTCCTGCTCCCATGACCTCACTTTGTGTTGGGACTTTCTCTCCGCTAATAAGGCCGTCATCGACTGCTCTCGCGCTGAGGTGGAATTTGAAGTGTTTGACAACGCTCCGTTAAATGATGCTCTTGAAACCGGGGACAAACTATTTGTTGCTGAAGACGTCATATACAGCCGCACTCTTTTGCCCTTACCATAGTGTATTGCAACTCCCTCGCCGAGTCGAGTGCCCTTTTCACGCCATCTGCCCTTTTCGTTCGCTGCAAGTGTTCACCGCAACCTTATGCCCTTCTAGATCTTTATGACGGCGTCAGCAGACTGCTCATCTCGAACCTCTTGTCATGTCCTGTAACACTACTTCGGGGTGAGTGTGTCGGGTCGGTTTACAGTCTCGATTGATTGATTGATTGATATGTAAGGTTTAACGTCCCAAAACCACTATGTGATTATGAGAGACGCCGTAGTGGAGGGCTCCGGAAATTTAGACCACCTGGGGTGCTTTAACGTGCACCCAAATCTGAGCACACAGGCCTACAACATCGGTTTACAGTCTCGACTCTTTTGCAATTGTTGACATGCCACTGGTCCTTCCGCCAAACACGAAGTCGCCGAAGTAACCTGTGCCTCTTTGCCGCAGACTACTAGGCCGGACGTATTGAGCAGCGCCATTGCCGACACGTTAACCGTTTCGCATGGTGCTCAGCTTCTACGACTGCTGGACAAGTTCCGTTCTTCTTTTGACTGCCAGCATACTCCCATTGGCTGCACGTCCGCTGTGTGTCACCGCATCAATACGGGTACCGATGCGCGATTGCATCAAAGACCCTATCGCGTGTCCGTAGCCGAGCGCCAGGTTATCGATGACCAAGCAGCTGACATGCTCAAGCGTGGCGTCATCAGCCTTCGAATAGCCCCTGGGCATTTCCAGTCGTTCTCGTTAAGAAGAAGGACGGGTCAATTCGCTTCTGTGTTGACTACCGTCGTCTTAACAAAATAACTCGAAAGGACGTTTACCCCTTACCGAGAATCGATGATGCCCTTGACTGCCTCCAAGGTGCGGAGTACTTCTCTTCTATTGACCTACGGAGTGGCTACTGGCAAGTCCCTCTGGCACCTGAAGATCAGCCTAAGACGGCCTTTGTCACACCTGATGGCCTTTAAGAATTCTGTGTCATGCCTTTAGGTCTTTGCAACGCGCCCGCAACATTCGAGCGGATGATGGACAATCTTCTGTGTAGCCTGAAGTGGAAAACATGCCTGTGCTACTTGGATGACGTAGTTATATTTTCGCCAGATTTTCCAACGCATCTCTGCAGGCTAGATGAAGTACTGCAGTGCCTAACTGACGCCGGCCTTCAGCTCAACCTGAAGAAATGCCGCTTCGGCGCAAGTCAGCTCACCATCCTCGGCCATGTTGTCTCTAAAGACAGTATTCTACCTGGCACCGCCAAGCTTGGGGCAGTTGCAGAGTGCCCTAAACCTGCGTCTCTGAAGGATCTGCGCAGCTTTCTCGGCCTCTGCTCGTATTTCCGCCGCTTTATTCGAAATTTCGCGATGATCACCGCCCCATTGACTGAACTTCTGCGCAGTGACTCGAAAAGTTACGCTTGGTCACCCGCCTATGACTATGCTTTCGAAAAGTTGCGCCGCCTGTTAACCTCGCCGCCAATCTTGCGTCACTTTGACCCGACTGCTCGGACTGAGGTACACACCGACGTCAGCGGGGTTGGACTCGGCGCCGTGTTCGCGCAGCGCAAATCGGGATTCCAGGAGTATGTAGTCGCATACGCAAGCTGTACCCTCACCAAAGCGGAGAACTATTCTGTGACACAGAAGGAGTGTCTGGCAATTATATGGGCTCTAGGTAAATTTAGACTGTACCTATATGGTCACCCCTTTGACGTAGTCACCGACCACCATGCGCTTTGCTGGTTATCCACATTGAAAGACCCCTCCGGCCGTTTAGCTCGCTGAACACTGCGGTT